ATTTGGGGTTTGAGATTGTCAGGGGACTGATATGGCTTTGAAAGCCTGTCTTTAATACAAGACCTGATTTTGTTTGATAAAAGAAATTATGAATTACCCTGCTCTTGATTGCAGCCTTGAAAGAAGGCAGAAAGCTTCTTTTAAAAATACGTTTCTTGCTGCTTAGTGAAAATAGATCAACCTTTATCTTGCTTGCTTGTTGTCTTTTCATTGCTTTACATTTTATCATATTGTTTTTGCATTTTTTTTTTTTTGTTAGCTATAATGCTGAAACAGATCAGTATCTCCTCTTCCCACCCTCCCCAACAGCGAAGTTGAGCCGTAACTTTGAAATATTTGTTGGAGAGAAACTGAAAGTAAAACCCCAAAATGTCTGGTAACTTTTTCACTGGCATTTACTTTTGGGGACCAGCTTGATGAGGAAGTCTTTGAGGTGGGTCTGCAAAGCAGCTCCCTTTTGGTAAGTCAGTAGCTCTACCTTGATTCTTATTCTCCTAGTGATACTGACTATGTGTTGCCAGCAGTGCCCTGTCCTGAGCTACTCTGCCCAGAAATCCCATGGCACTACCTAGGTAGTTGTCTTTCTGTATGTGATATGCTTTTGCAAGTCTATATTCAATATGAAATACATGCAAGTGTTAGGGAGGAAAGGAATTATAAGCATTTCTGTCCTGTGTCCCTTACTTGATTCAGTGCCGAATGCATCTGCGTCTTTCAGGATTGCTGCTGTTCAGCTTCTCTTGCTCTTCAGCCACTTAGGGTATTTAATAAAGGGAGCTGCTACTACAGTGAACCTCTGATGCCTTTCTGGCATGAAGTGGGGAAGCTGCTAGGTTTGGGCCTCTTACAGTTTAGTACTGTGCAGATGTGAAGCAAGTTCCAGTGTTTGGCCCCTAAACACCTGTGTTCCAGGTAGTATGGCTTGGTTAGCTGTTATACAGGACTTTATATTTCAGTAAAACACTGAAAATTAGAAGTGCAGCAGAGAGATTAAGTGCCTTGGCCAAAACTACACAATAAAACTCACAGGGAAAACCAACAGCTTTTCTTCAGTCATTGTAGTATCCCTACAGCTTGAGATACTTTTCTGGACTAAGATCCACCACCCTCCCCTTTTAAAACTAGGTTTGACTGATTACTTTGTATTTTTAAAATCCTTCTGAAAACACTGTCATAAAACCTTTTCTAAAATTGTTACTCTTCAAATTTTAATCCTTTTATCACACCAGGTTTTATTTAGCTGTGTTTAGGAAAATTTCCTCCTATGTATTAGTTACTGGGTTTCTGATGTCTGCCCGCCCCGATGTATGTGGTATTGTTCATTAAAGCATGGAGGAAGAATTGTCTTTGCTATAGTTAAAGAGCATGACCGTTCAAGATACTTCTGCAGAAATTACTTCCTTGCAGTAGTAGCACATACTTCTCAGTATTTCTTACTGTGAAGAGAACTTTCAAAGCACAATTTGTTGTCATCTTTCTGAAGATACTGTTGGAAGAACAGTTAGGACTCTTGGCTCTCTGGTGGTTTGGGAAGTTACCATCTGGTCTCAGGTTTCAATTCTTGTAGCATTATTGGCAGAACAGAAGGTGTGTTCACACCTTGGCCAGGCTTGTTCATTTGGAAATAAGATACAGTAGCAGATTACACTAAAACTGCTGGACCTAATGCAAAAATAGCTGAGGTATATTATGTTTGTTGACTTTTCTTGTCCTGTCAGCCCCTCACTGCTGGATTACTCTCACAGTAATTTTAAACTGATAAAGCAAATGCTAAACTTGGTCAGTATTCTGAGACAGCATTCAGCTTCTGGATTGTCTGCTGCTAATTTCAGTGCTTAACTGATTGCAGACGTGATTGCAGACTCCAACTGCCTATATGTTCGTGACTAATACAATCAAGAATAAATCATTACTTTCATAACTTTTTCAGCTTTTCATCAGGAATGACAATAAAAAAACACAACAAACCATGAGACTTTAGTATAATAGTAAGGGTCTGCTTTTAGATTTGTATGTGTCTGATAGGTGATGCTGTCCTTTGTTCTCTACCGATTGTAGAAAACGGAGGAGTTCAAGTGTATAACTCAATAACAAGTAAAAAAGGAGCAAGTCCTCAGTAGGACTAATGGTATTGACAGAAGGGAAATGACATAACCATCTACTGCCTGGAGGTGGCTGGAAAGTCCAGAATGCACGTGTCTTGTTCTTGTTCCTAAAGAATATAAAACCCCCTTCAGATGTTCTACTCCTTTCCTTCCCCAAATAACCTTAATGCATGATTCTTTCAGAGGAGTTTTTAATTCCTTTATTGCTTTTCCTCAGAAGTGCTTAGCTGAAGATTAGATTTTGTGCCTTTTTAACATTAAAATAGAAACTTTTCCCCTCTAAGTAGCTTACTACTAACGATAGTATAAATCTTGGTGAGATTAATGAGACTCACAGTTACATTCGTAAACTGTTACATGAATTTTACTCAAGTAGTTTAATTTGAAAATAACTTGATCATGATTTTTGGTACTTGGTTTGTCTCTGGCATTAGAAACTACTTTTGGTAAAAGTCTGATCATAAAAATATTGTGTATAAAGCTTTTGCTTTCTAAATAGCTTGTGACTAGATGGGGGAGGAAATGGGTAGTCTGTTCACTCTGGGATTTTCATTTTTAGTCCACACATTTTCCATGAATACGTTGTTATTAATTTGTCAGATGGCAAGTTCTATGGCATGGACATCAAAGAGTTGTCTTAGTGATGACCTGAGCAGTTTGTAGATTTGTTCTTGTAACTGTATGTGAGCTAAATGGTGTAGAACTGCATTCTCCTGGTTGAGGCATTTAGTTCCTGAATGACTTGCCTGTTTGTGTTCATGTTTTGCTACTAAACTGAAACTAATGTGGCTTTTGGACTGAAATAGGGTAGAGGGCATTCACATGAATGGCACCAATGGAAGGTTGGAGTAGGCTATAATGAAAGGCTGAAATTAGGGGTTCTGGAGTGGTAACTCAGCTAACATAGTTGTGTGTGGAAAAAAGTATGTGTCTGCACTGGATGTGGTAGTTTATGCTGATTGTAAAGACAAGCTTGGAGTACACTTACAGAAATTAAAGGCCTTGCAACTCAAATGTAATTGCAAGAACGTGTATGGTGTGCTTTTAAATATATGATCTGAATAAGAAGCTCCTTGCAGTCATTTAATGTTTATAATGTTTCCTTTGTCTTTTAGAATAAAATTTAGGAAGAATGAATTTTCTTAAGCTACCTTTTGCCACATAGGGAAGAAAAAATACTTTGTGCATCAGTATGCTTTTCTAGCTACATTATAATAAATTTCTCTGGCTTTATACATGGTACATGTTGCCTGGTTTTATTATTAAAACATTGCTACAAAAAACTTTTCCTAGTTAACAGTGTGCCTGTGAGTTTGTACTTCGCTGCAGAAAGAACTCATAATCTAATATTAGCAGTTTGCATTTGTCTTTTGACTATTAATATAATAGAACCATTTTATATTGGAGTTACTGTGATATTCTCCTATAAATAAGAATAAAAAGTAAACTTAGACTAAACCACTAAAGATTGTCAAAATAGGGTAACTTGGGATCCCTCTTTTCTGCAAACATGTTAGAAGTAGTGGTGGGGCTTCATTTTTGTCATATTCTATAAGTCCAGCAATATTAGGTATAGGCTGGGAGAGACGTTTTGGGTAGACTAGATATTTGCTCCTAATGTGACTGCCCATCATCTTCTGCTGTGTTCTCCAATGGTGGCATAACTGCAGAGCTAATGGTAACTCAGGGTATGCAGTATTTGGGGAGCATAATTTTATGTCTTCTGACTGCCTTCAAAGAGGTAATAGCGGGCATTCACTTTTATGTTGAGGATTTACTTTGAAATTAATGTTCATTTTGAGCTAGATTTGCTGTTTATTGCAAGTAGTACACAAGCTCTTCAGAAACATTTTTACATGACAATTGTTAAAAAATACATGGAGTTAATAAACTGTTTACAACATGCGTAGTCTGAAGATATGAAAGGCAAAGAGTTGTAAGCTGCTAATCTGAATTTGTAATCACTCTGTGAATACTATAGCTGTTTTTCAGTGCTATTTTATAATGTAAATCTTCTAAAAAGTTTTTAATGCTATACAAGTCAGTTACCCCAAAGATTTGAGTTATTTTGGGATTTCTGTGAGTAATACCCTCACTGGTTGATGAATAAAATTGTGGCTAAGTTCGGGAGAGGGAAAATCTTGTAGCATTGCCTGTATCAATAGTTATTACAAGCCTAGTCTTTGAAAGACCAAAATCATGCTGACTGTAGTTTCAAAAGGGATAGACTGCTTTCAATACAAGGATGTTTTATAGTTCTCACGTTTTTTTCTTTTTTGTCCAGAGTTGCTCAACTGCCTTTTGTGGCTAGCATGTGAAATAATGCCATTCAGAATGGTGAAGAACACGCATGTCTTTTTTAAATTCTGTTTTTGTGGTTCTCTGTAGCCAGACCTAAATTTGCATTCTTTTCATGATCACTTGGTGGTTTGAAACTGTAATTGAGAAGCAAGCATGGCACAGTTCTGCAGCATTGTATTGCTGTGAAGGACAATGTGAAGCTAAACCTGTGTTTGTTCACCGGTGAAAACAGACGTTTGATTGAGCTACTCTTTGGGCACTTCCCAGTGTTGGAAAGGTGACAGACAGTAAGAGTTTGTTTCCCCCTGTGCTATATGTGAAGTGGGGAAGTGAAAGCTCTGAGATGAACTTCCTCATGTGTTATCTATTATTGTAGGTAACAGCTGCTGCTGTTAAGTCATAGTATTTTTAAATATATACCCTAAAAATCATGCAGACTATCTGAAAAAAGATTTCTTATACCAATGATTTCAGAGTTTGAGGAATATAGTATAATACATTCATAAAGTTTCCACAATAACTTCATATTATACCTATTAAAATATGGTCTATAGCTTCAAGCCTGCTTATTTAATATTTTTCCTTCTTTGTTAGGTTCTTGTGGCAGGAGGAGAATACTGAGCTGAGATGGAAGTCAAAACATCATTTAGCAAAGCCAGCAGAATTCCTGAAACTGTATCCACATTCATTAATGAAGAATTTGTCCTGGTTCATCAGCAATCTGAGGATACCTTTGGAAAAGATGAAAAACCTCAGCTGAAGGTTTACTATTACTTTATTTTAAATGCATAGTAAGATATGTATTGATGAAAAAATTCAACTTCTTTTGAATATTTAAAGATACTTGTGTGTGCTTAAGGAGGCTCTTAGACTGTCATTATTTGCCCTTGGTTATTACTAGTGAAATTAACTGCTTGGATGAAACAAATCTGTCCAAAAGTGGCAGTTCACTTTTTCTTTTAAAAGCTTCTTCAGGGGTCAGCTTTATTATATTCTGTGGTTATATACATTCATAAAGGACTAAAAAGTTCTTTTTAAAGAATTAGTTTCAAATTAAAGTTTGGGAAGTATTCTTTATGTAGGGATCAGATTTCTGTAAATGTTTTTATCTTAAAAGCACATAATTAGGCCACATAGGAGTAGACCACAGAGGGTTTTGGTTTTTACTTTTTAATTTAGTTTTCCTGCTTAGTGTTACTTTAGGCATGACTAAGACATTTTTCTCAAAGCTTTCTTCTACCTCTTAGTAGCAGAATATTTTAGCATTTGGGTGACAGCTGATTGGTTAATTACAGATTTCCTCACTTGAGTTTCAGTAGCTGGTTTACTGGTTTTGGTCTGCTTGAAACAACAGGAATCTGTTCCCGTTGAAATCACAATTAGTACTTAGTTTGTCTTTGCATAACTGGCAGTTATGTACAGCCAGTGACTTCTGCCTGTATTAAACACTAGCTGCTGCTTTAGTAATTGTCTTGAAAAAGGCAGGTGAGCTGGAGGTAGAATCCAAAATGCAAGTTTATCATCGGCCCTGGCTTTTTTTGGTCTGAAAAGTGAATACTTGTGAAAGGCTGTATGTCCCTCCACCCCCACCAGGGAACATGTCTCATAATTTTCTTACCATTTCTGTAGACTTGCATCCTTCCAATCTGTGGGACAATTGGTGAAACAACTGAAATGGATATGACTAAGAAAGTAAAATTTTGTTCAAGACTAATCAATAACAAAGTCTGATCTTCATTATGAATGGAGGGTATAAACATACAAACCTGTTACTTTGAGAGGTCTATAGCTTTTGGATGCATGGTTTCTGTATTAGCAGTAAAATCATGTGCATTATATGTTGGACATTGGATTATATTTAATTTAATTTTGTTGATTCTTATTGTGTAGTCTTGTTCAGCAAAGGTTCTTAACTTTTGCAATGGGTAAGATTATATGTTTGAAAAATAATAGCGAAAGTAAAGCTACAAGTGTCTTTTAAAATGTGTCATCTTCTGCTTACAGGTATTTTCAAATGGAGATGATCAGCTGGAGAAAGCAATGGAAGAGTTATTGAGGGATTCTGAAAAAGACCAGAACAATTTCACTGCTCTCCAAGAAGGTTCCAGTGATGCAAGCAGCCAGGCAGCTCAGGATGGTTCAGCAGGTCAAACACATATGCCATCTTTGCACCTTGCTTTAGACCCTTCTACTACAGGTATTGCTAAAGTGTTTCCTCCATCAGTCATGTATGGCATTTTTTTTTTCTTTATGCAGCTTCAGGTTAACCTGAAAATGAATATAAAGCTTTCTGGAGCTTCGTTCTAAAACTGTACTGAACGATATCCTGGGCTTCCTCTCCTTTTCTGATTATCTGAGGATAATAGAGAGGAATAGATTGTCATCAGATTGATAGCTTATGCTGTTCAGTTTTGGTCAAGATAATTTTTATTTTGTCTCCAGTCCTAGATGAGTTAGGCCTAAGTGTTGTATAACTTACTGAATGGGCTACAGCTGAGGTAGAAATGCTACTGATGGCATACGAAAAATTCGAGGGCAGTTTTATTGATAGTGCTGCTTGGAAATGGAATATACCTTGTGAAAACTGATAAACTTTTCATCTCTGATTCTATTGCCAGTTATCAGTAAGGACACATTTGGAACTGCTGTTTGCTAGGAATGATTGTGATACTTTTCCGGTATTTGAAATTTTAGTAAAAAAAGAGAAGACAGCTTTTTATATAAAATATATTGTGTATTGTAGATTTTTAGAAATGTATCTCTGTATATTAGGAATACAAGGCTGTGGCCATCTCTGTGGGCCTTGTACTAGACAACTCTTTTTTACTCAGTGGTATGCAGAGCACTTCTGCGGCCTTGTCAGATTATTCTGAAAGCATCTGCTTGGAAAGTGGTGGGGGAAAAAAGAGTTTTTGTGGTAGAATAAGAGAGCTTATGCATAATGGAAACACCCATCTCTTATATACACATACACAGTTTTTTAACCTTCATGATTTAAGTGTTATGGAAATACTAGCTATAGTAATAAGGAATAGAAATAACAGGATTGCTTAGAGAGGTTTGGAATGTCTGTCTCTGGAGATATGAAATCTCATCTGGGTAGGGCCCTAAGTAATCTGATCCAGTTTTGAAACTAGCCATAGTCTAACCTGATCTGTCTTTGAGCAGGAGTTAAAACTACATGACCTCTAGAGGTCTTTTCCAACCTAGATTACTCTGATTTGTCCACCACATCTCCTCTTATTTCTCAAATGACAAAACGCCTTAAAAAAACCCACCAGAAAACAGCAATAGTGGCAAAACTGCCAAAAGCCCCCTCAATATCATCCCAGTCCATACGCGCGATAAAGCAGAAAAAGAATGTTTCTCTTTTGCTAAGTAGAGGAGCAGACAGATATCCTTTTTCTTTCTCCCAGCTCTCTGATGGTTACATGCAGTTAACATAGCTATCCCAGGAATGTGAACTGCATTTCATAATTCTACACAAGCTGCAAAGACCTGGGAGGAAAGAGAATTAGAGGTGTCTTCATGTAAAATGATGAGTAGGAACTAGAAAGAGGTACAAGGAAACTAAAGAACATCTGGGGAACGAGCTTAAACAAAAATTGTGTTCTGGCACTGATGAAGAGAAGCAAAAGGCAGTTTGTCCCTATGCCATACTTGGAGATATGTGTTAGAATAGAATAGGTTTAAGTTAAGCTGCCAGATTTCTTACTATTAGAGCTGAACATTTAAACACCATGCCTGTTCTCCAAAAAAGTGGGAGGTTTTGCTCATTCAGAAAACAATGTGTAAAAAAAAAAAAAAGAAAAAAAGAAAAGCAAATGCTTAAAGAAGTGGTTTCTTTATTTTCAGAAATCTCTGCACCAAGGCCATTTTTTCCTGGTGAACCCCTAGAAGAGGACAGTGTATTGTTTAACAAACTGACTTACTTAGGTTGCACAAAAGTGTCTGCCCCTCGAAATGAACCAGAAGCTCTACATGCCATGGCAAGCATGAAATCCTCAAGTCAAGCCTCTTTACCTGTAACGCTTTATGTTCCAAACATTCCGGAAGGCTACGTAAGGTAACATACAAATCCTTCTTTTGTTACTTGCACAGACACATGAAAGGTGGAATTCGACTTTGTTACTTGCACACTGAAGTAGAATTGCTGGATTTGTGCCTGAAGTTCTTGCTGAAGTCAATTTTGAGAAATTCCTCTGAAACTACACACTGTGTGCTGACATTTAACATGCAGTACATAGTTGGTGGTAGCAGTTGCCGTACGGTGTCAACAGAAGCGTGTATTTCTACCTGCATCTCTCCTCTAATATAAGATTTCCGCTGCAAAGGGAGAGCTGATAATGCCTTGAGTCTAGGGAGATTGGGAGAAAATAATCACCTCCAAGGTAAATATGTTGAGGCAGTAGTAGTCCTGCTGGCTTTTGACTTTGGGTTGAAGAGGTTTGAATTTTAGACTCTTCCATAGATGCTGAATACTTAAGACTTGCTAGTCTTTCTTTCCAGACAGATATGATAAAGCCAAAACCTGAGTTTGGCTAAGGATGCATATGCTGATAGTCTCTAGATACTAAGAAAATTTACCTGCCCCTTTTGAGAAGGGTCTATTTAAGTAGTGATCAAAGAGTCAAGTTCTTAATCAGGGTGCAATAAAGGTGCATCTGTAGCAGTTTTGTATCCAGAAGTAGGGAGCATCTGAATATTCAAGGTTTTTATGTTTAAACTCTGATACCAAGATGTCTTGAATATCCGTATCAAGGATATGTGCTTTTCTGTGCTGCACCTATGTGTTTTCTATCATCTTGTGCAGAAAGGGCTTTAAAGCATATGTATTTTCTTCCCATTTGCTCTTTGAACCAAATTTAAATTTTCATTTGACAGTATGACAATATTTCAGTTGAATTAGGAAATTACGCGGCATAGTTTTATGATGCAACTGCCACATGAACACAAGGTGTTAGGATGCTGTACCTATTTTCATAGCTATTCAAGCTATATTTCATAACTTGAATGTGTCCATTCAGGAAGGTTGAAACTGAAGGTTCCTTCGATCTTCAATTGCAGAAGACATCATTAAGCAAAGAACTGCCTAAGAATTTGCACAGAACTGTAAAGGTGAATCTGTGTGACATGATACGCTCAATTACAGTTGGAGTGGCACCAGTGCCATCTTTGAGGAATGTTTCCATTCAATTCAGACAGTTATCTGAGTACTTGTCATGTGGGGTTCCATTTACCATGTTCCACCAATAGTACTGTATGCTAAATCTTGTCTGGGATTTTCCTGCTTGTAGAAGACTAGTCCTTTATTTTTATTGTTACAGACTTGAGATTCTATTCCTGGTAAGAAACGTTTACTTACCTTTGATGTGAAGGTGCATATGGACAAGTAGCAAAAAGACAAAGAACTGTGGAACTCTGTTACTCTATGAAACTCACTGTCTAGTAGTCTGTTCTGAGACAACCACCCCTGTTGTCTTCTTTAAAGTTTCTGAAATATTCGTTGGGTTCTGAGTTTGAGAGGAATTCAAAATTTTGTATGAGCCCTTAAACCTGTGATTAATATTCACCTAAACATGGCAGCAAGCATTTGCTAAGTTATGTAGTCCTGTAGAATCTGAATAAATAATGTTTCCTTAATGCTTTCTTAAACAGAGGTACAAAAGAATTTAAATCCATTAAAATTAAAAAAGCCATTTAAATTTTAACATTGCATTTTTTTTGTATGCAAATCACATATTAGCAATTGCTTTAGTTTCTGCATTTCTTCCGGTTTTCTCGAATGATCGCAGAGCAATGATGGTCATTGTTACTGCATGATGTAGAAGTATTATATTTGTCTGTAGTATGGAGTATAAAAGAAATTAAGCCAGTGTTACAGCCAGAAACATTTAAATCTTAAATTTGCAAAGCCTGACATTTCTGTTCTTACTGCTCATCTTGTGTACTTGAATTTAGTAGTAATTACAGTTTAGATACTTGTTTATCTAACCGCAGAAGAGCCTTTTAGATAGGCATGTTTATTTTATTGACCTTTTTCTTTGATCCCCCCTCTTCTTTTCCTTGACAGAATAATAAATCAGTCAAGCAACACAGAGATAGCCTCGTTTCCAATCTATAAGGTGTTGTTTTGTGTGCGTGGACAAAATGGAACTTCAGAAAGTGACTGTTTTGCATTTACTGAAAGCAGCTGTGGAACAGAGGAGTTCCAGATTCATGTTTTTTCCTGTGAGATTAAAGAAGCGGTAAGTATTAAATGTTGTACAGTAACTGGTAAAAAGGATACAAGTGGTATTTTAAGAAGTTACTCCAGATGTGGAAATGGTATATTGTGCCTTGAAAAATGTTAACATATGTATAATGAGTTTCACAGAATGTGCAGCTAGTCATAAATGAGTATTAATATAACTTATTTTTTCTTTAAGTATTTCAATGTAATTCCAAAGTGCACTGTGATGGAACGATTTAGGAAGCCTGAATTTAAGACAAGTATTCTTTTTTTGAGGCCTCAGTTGTTTAGATTTCAGAATAAAGTTGCAGTGTAGACCTTATGAGTTACAAAGCATCATTTTACTGTACTCTGCCCTAGGTATTTTGGGAAGAATTACATGATAGTTTGGGGGAAAAGTTTTTTTCTAGGGTGAAAAAACAGAGGTTGAAAAAGAAATGCAAGAGGAGGCTGTTAGCTGTGCTTTTCAGGTTGTGTATTTAACAATGCATTATTCAGGTCCTCTAATGAGTTGTATTCTTAATCTTATAATACTATATTAACCTGCTCAGCATTACATGAGCAGTGAATGTGGCATGAATAGAAACAGGAGATGTTGTTACTGAATTTGCTTGGTTATTAAACACCTGATCTGAATGCTTTATGTTATATGAAGCATGTTTTGTGTTCTTTATAAGAGGAAAGTGGCAGGAATTTTATGACCTTCAAAATCACATCAGATGGATTTATTAAAAGTACTCTTTTTCGTTTTTATAAAAGTATTCTTTTGCTTTTCTGCAGGTCAGCCGAATTTTATATAGTTTCTCGACAGCATTCAAACGTTCTTGCAAACAAGCATCTGATCATGTTAAGGACTTTCTTCTTCCTACTCCAGATAGTGATGTGTACACTTTCAGTGTTTCCTTAGAAGTCAAAGAAGATGATGGAAAAGGAAATTTTAGGTAATCTGAATGGAAAGGGAAAAGTGGAAATATCTTTGAAAAAAGCATATAGTTATTTGCAGAATGCATAGCTACTGTGTCCAGTAGAAATTATTTGGCCTCACTTCATAAGTAGACTCATTATAAAAAGGAAGCTATTGCTTTGCTTTTACAGTTTTCTTCTCCATATTTTTTCTCTCAAGATCAAAAATCATTGTACCTTTTCCAAGTTAGAATCTTTTGAACATGATTTGTGGTAGGGATACTAAAGGTAGGCCTCTGTAAATGGAAAAGATAGTAGGAACTCTGTTAAATACTTCATTGAACCAGTTCTCTTGAGTGACCACAATCTAGCAGTCTCTTTATTAATTTATTTTAAATAAGCTAATGAAGTCCAAATTTATTCAAGATTCAGAAAATGTAAACTTCTCCTAGTGTTACAGGGGACAGAGGAGGAAAGTATTCTTCGCCTTACAGTTAATTACAAGATTTTTTAGAATGGAAGAGAGAGTTGATAGTAAGAGTTAGTTCTGTGAAAATGTCCTATTTATTTTTTCTTCGTAGCTGGTATATAGCGTATTTTCTATAATTTTAAAACCTCAAATACCCCATGCAGTTTTGAATACATTTGATAAACCCCAGACAGCATACTAAATGTGAGCCTGTAGTGTGTTTTTCTTCAGTGGCGCTTTATTAACTTGTCAGTAAAGGAAGAGGAGGTGTCAAATAACTCGAGCCATTAACATTGTAAGTGGGCTGCCACTCTCTTGTCTGTATTTAACAGTTAATGTTTCATACCTGTGCTAAAGAAACTTGTTTCTTTATTACTTTAGCCCTGTGCCAAAGGACAGAGAGAAACTATATTTCAAGCTTAAACAGGGAATTGAGAAGAAAGTGGTGATTACAGTTCAGCAACTCTCAAACAAAGAACTGGCCATTGAAAGGTAAGATTCTTATGAAAATAATGCAGGTTATGTTTCTGAGAGAACAATATTTAATGTACTTTTTCCTAGCTTTGGAAGTTATGTGACAGAAAAACATACAACATTTATAGGTGCCCAGTTCAGTTTTAAATTCCTTCTGAAGTATTTGTGTAATTTTTAGGTGAAAACAAGAAATACGGCCTGTAATACTCAGACATTCTTGGCTTTTGCTTTTTAATTGTCTTTTTGAATGTGGTAGGATACTTAAAACATTCAAATGCTCTTGATTTTGCCTTCTGTTGGTTTTAAGTAGTGCAAAACTGTGCATCTATTGTAATCCTGCTTTACCAGCATCTTGCTGTTTAGTGTAAATAATGAAGTTACATTGTTTGAGCTACATTAAATCTTGGAGCATATGAATCTATTAGATCAGTGTACTGGAACACTATACGTTTGGACTCAACCTCCTGTTCAGAAGGAGCAATCTTTTGGTGGAGTCTTCAAGATAAATAGGATTCCTTTGTAGTTTTGTTATAACGTGATTCTAGTGTCTGTCTTCAAGTGGTGGTGAAGAGCCTGGGAATGGTTGGTAACTTGTGTTTCATGGAAAACACACCAGGGGTATCCCTTTTGGACAGCATAATCTGACCTTTTGTGCAAAGCATGTGCACAAGAAGTGGACTGTGCATATGAAGAAATAACTCTTAGTTACTGTGTTCATTAACAGTACACTCTTGTTACTACAGTAGTAGTAAGTACTGCATTAATTTAAATCAGGAAATCCTCAATAGCTCAATTTTTAAAAAATAGCAAACACCACCAGATGGCAATCTTATCAAGGAGTCACAATAGGAGAATATACTGTTACTGAAAAGGGAATTAAAGATAATGGGAGAATCAAGAAGGAAAAACCCACAATCCTCCCGGAATTTAAGATTAATGTCTTGGCTTGCTTTCAGACTTTGATTTCAAAAATAAAACTGAAATTATAAGCAAGGAATATATAGCAAAATTTATTATGAATATTCTTTTTTGTTGTAAAATTGTGCTTTTACTACTCATTGGCTTAAAAAATGCTATTTTAATTATGTTTTTAATTGAAATAATTTTGGTTTCAGAATTCAGTTAATAAATTATGAGCTCTTTTGAGCATTTCTAAAATTCATTTAATTGTTGGCTTGATTTCCCTCTCTCTTCCTCCTCCCCAGAAGTGAAGCTCCCTCCCTTAGAAATAAGTTTTTATTTTGGTATTGTTTAGGATATTCAATTAAGATGTTATTTTTATCGCCACAAGCTTTGCTGATAAAAAGTTCAGTTGACGTGACATACACAGGCTTGTAAGTAATTTAATGTTCTTACTACTCATAATATTAAAATTCAAAAGCAGTATAGCCGATCAGTTCAGGTTATATCAGGCAGTGAACTTTTAAGCAATTTAATGTTTCTTCAGAAATATTTCTAAGTGGAAATCATAATGCAGAAAAATGTTGTTGCTAAAGAAGTTTGGCCTAAAGAAAAGTAAACCTGGTATCATTCGGAGAAACTTGACACCTCCTGGTGTTTGGATAGGGCCTGTTGCTTTGTTGATAGAGTCGGTTACTCTCAGTTGAGTTACTTTGGCCCCTAGTAGAAGCTAGTGACCCCTCTATTATTATAAATGGTAGTTCTCTCAGAGATTTTCTACCCCAGGAACAAAAAATAGCAAGTCAGTCTACTGCAACGTTCTGCCTGGTCTAATTAGTCTCACAGAGGAGCCTGGTTAAGTCCTAGCACACTAGCTACCTCTGTTGCTTTACATGATGCTGCATTATGCAGTGTATATAAAGCAAAATTGCTGTCTATTGTTTTATTTACCACTTTGACTTTTAAGATTCTAGTAAGGAGAATATGAAGAAAGAAAAACAGAATTGTGGATGCAAGTTACTGTTTAAGTGTAATGAGGTAGAAAATGAAAATCACATAAACATAATAAAGGCAGACTTACTAGATGGTATAGTAATTGCATATCTTAAGACCTTTACAGTTAATAGCATTGTTGAAATGATACTTGCTTTTATCTTTGCTCAAGATACAATAGTTTCACAGCTTTCAGGAAAACAGACTGTGTCTTCATTTCTAACCTGTGAATGTTCAAATAATCTCTTACAATTTATGTTTGTTGAAAAATGTAAATTTTCATTTGGGTAAGTGGGCTGCCCAGATGACAGAACAGCTTTTGTTCAGATTTAGAGAATGTGGAAATGGCGGGCTCTTCCTGGTGTGCTCGGTTACCTGATGGAAGGGTACAGAGGAAATGGAGTTGGATTTTTCTGGGAGGTGTGGAGTGGTAGGATTAGAGTTAATGGACACATATGACTTCACTGGAAATTCCTGTGAATTAGGCCAGTGGTTGTCGATACAAATGGAGCATTGGAACAGGTTGCGTAAGAGGTCATTTATTCTGTTCTCAAAGGTGCTCAGGACTTGACCTGGAGCACCTCCCATATGAAGATCGGCTGAGAAAGTTGGGGCTGTTCAGCCTGGAGAAGAGAAGGCTGCGTGGAGACCTCATAGCAGCCTTTCAGTATCTGAAGGGGGCATATAGGGATGCTGGGGAGGGACTCTTCATTGGGAACTGTAGTGACAGGACAAGGGGTAATGGGTTAAAACTTAAACAGGGGAAGTTTAGATTGGATATAAGAAGGAAATTCTTTCCTGTTAGGGTAGTGAGGCACTGGAATAGGTTGCCCAGGGAGGTTGTGAACGCTTCATCCCTGGCAGTGTTCAAGGCTAGGTTGGACGAGGCCTTGGGTAATATGGTTTAGAGTGAGGTGTCCCTGCCCATGGCAGGGGGGTTGGAACTTGATGATCTTGAGGTCCTTTCCAACCCTAACTATTCTATGATTCTATAAAGCCCTGGGCAGCCTGATTCAAGTTGGTCCTCTTTTGGGTAGAGGTTTGGGTCAGACTGCTTGTAGAGATTGCTTTTGATTAACATTGTTCTGAGAGTCAGTGATAAAAACTGGTATGTCTGATTATATTAGAGAATTGAATTAAAGAACTGAGCTGTACAGAAGAAAAATTCTCAAAGCAAGCCCCTCTGAAATACAACCTTATTTTTCTGTAACGTTTCATGGTTGCTTTTGAGGTGGTTTGGGTTTTTCTTTGGTTGGGTTTTTTCTATTTTTATTTTTTCTTATTTGGGGTCAAACATTTTTAAAAGTCTTTGCAAAATTGCTTGCAGCTTCTGTTATAAATACATAATTCTGTTTGGTATTTTTAAATTTGTAATGGAGTATTTTCAGAGGAGGAAGATAGAAATGATTTCAGAAATTTCAGATCTGGATTTGTGCCTTCAGTATTGAGGAAGTTCAAAAGTCTGAATGCTTTAAGAACTTTTTTTCTTTTTTAATACTCTTAAAAATACCAAGAGCATTTTCTTGTTAAATGATTGGACAGGTATTCTGGAATTCAAGGCCTTGTATAATAGAGAAGTTCAGTTTTAAAAAGTAAAGAACGGAAGTCTAAAAATGGAACAAATTCCCTCTCTCTCTTTTTTATTTTTAAGGGCCCATAACGCTGCCTGTTGTTTGACACCAGTGATATTCTGAGTGATAGAAGGGTGAATTTGTAATATTTTGTATGATTGTATGAAAACAATTTTTAAAATGGTCTGGGGAGGAAGTGAACTTCTTATGAATCTCCATCACTTATGTATAGGAGCTGTTGATATCTTTAAATTAAATATTATAAATTGTCTTTAAGAAGAATTGTTCATTGGTCAGACGCTAACCTCTGTCATCTTCATTCTGGAAAACAATTTTGTTGTCATTTCTGTAATAGACATTGTGATGTTTCCTGAACATTACCATAACACCAACACAAAATTGATAAGTTTTTCTTTGAATTGCAATCAGTAGGTGGCTGTGCCATTGTGTTCAAGAAAATACTTCTGTATTTTGAAAAACTGATCTCTCTCTCTTTTTCTCATTCTCTCTCTTTCATGTAAACTTGACAGATGCTTTGGGATGCTGCTAAGCCCTGGACGAAATGTGAAGAACAGTGACATGCATTTACTAGACATGGTAATGCTTAGCTCTAATAACCTCTTTAGTAAGATAGAGGTGATCTAAAAAAGCAAACAAAACCCAACAAAACAAAACTCTCATCTGTTTGGTTTTTGTTTGTGGTTTCTGAAATCCTGGGTTTTATATCTTGAAACTAGGCATGAGTTTGTTATATACAGTGGACAAAACATTTCAATAAATGTCCAAACCGATAGCATCCGTTGTTTGTTCAATTGGTGAAGCACTGATCAGGTCAGTTGACAGGTGGTTGTTACAAATAACTAAGCTTTCTGTTTTGTGTGAAGCATGTTGCCTAAAAATTTAGACCGAACAATTATTATTTTAAAAAAAAAAGTGAGTATTGGGGAAGTGGTCTTACTTTTGCAGGACACTGGAAATTTTGCCTTTATTTCCTTCATTTAAATTTAAGTTCTTGCTCAGAATTTGAAGTATTCACTTGTCTTCTGTAATCTTCCATTTCTTACGAGCTGCTTCTAAGAAAAGTACAAAACAATATTATACTTGCTGTGATAATATCAATTGACTTCCATGTTCTCGATAAGTATGCAGCCATTTTCAAGTCAAGAAGTGCATGAGATAACCAGTCAGGGATTTTATAGCTACACAGTAATCCCAGTTTTTCCCAGTCCATTTCTTTACTCATGTGGATGATTCTAGCTGTCAGTATTTAGTTTTCTTGTCAAATTCTTATTTGTTTGTGTCTACCTCTATTTGATGTCATTAGTTCCAACTTTCTGTTTTTATTATTTGATTAGAAATTTAATATAGTGAGTATAGGGCATGATGAATTGGCTTCTATAAATGTATATAACAACTTTTTACTGTATGGACCGTGTATTTGAATTCCTGTCTTTACTCCATCTACAATTTTATATATGTTTACATTTCAAGTACATTTAACCACTGGATGTAATGGCTTATTAGTTCATTTCTTGGTTATACCATATACATATAATTTTGTGTTTTCCTTTAAACCTCTTTTCCTATTTAAATCTGGAGAACTTAGTCACTCTTGCGGCTCTACCACAGATTAGATTGTAGAGTAGAAATGTCAACCTCCTTTCATCTATAAAGAGGTTACTGTACAGGCCTGTTGGATCATTTGGAACTATCCCAGAAAACATGAGGAAGCATGTACTTGCCTCATAGTAGTAATAGCTCCTCAGCTGCTCAGAAAGTAGAGTGGCAGATATCCCAGAATGCTTTCGTGCTTACAGTAAGCATAACTTCCCCCCTCCAACTTGATAAACTATCTTGTCTTCAGTTTCTTATATAATGTTTCTCCTAACATTTCTTCTTTCTCTTCCATTTCCCTATAACCTTTCTCAATTGATTATTTCATACTCTTTATTTTGGCTGTATTTGCTACAGCGAACACAATCTTATTCTGAAGTTCCTAAAACTGTTTTCCCTCCCATGCTTAAATTTCTTTGATAACAAAGCATAACTGTTAATAGAATCCTGTATGTTTTTATTTTTAGGAATCCATGGGAAAGAGTTCTGATGGGAAGGCTTATGTAATTACTGGAATGTGGAATCCTAATGCACCCATGTTTCTGGTACTTAATGAGGAAACTCCTAAAGGTAATTTAATCTAATTTGTAAATTTGTTTTATGTGACATGGGTTTGGTGTATGTGCTTTGTCCTGGGAATAGTGGTGCATATATTGAGTGCTTATAACGTTATGCTCCAGAAGCCTGTGGCTAGGAGCTGTTCTGTGTAAAATATGCAATATAGAATGTCAATAGTTGTTCACAGAACTGTGTGTTGCTTATCCGGAGATGCTAAATTAACGTTTAGGGCTTTTGTGCTTGTTCCCTTGTTATCGGGACTTTTTGGTCCAAAGCACGCATAAGTTGTTTTGCATGTCAGTTACTTAGCAAAGCAGTATAAGTAGTAGGCATTGCTATTCTCTTTCTTTTAGTTTTCAGGTGACTTGTTTGCAAATAGATTACATATTGTCTTTGTTTTAAAATGTTACGAGGGTTACTTGGTACACTGTTTAATGTATACTCTCATTCTCTGCAGCAGGCATTGTAGGGTATAGAACTTCGGTAAATAGAATGTGTTCTCGTGGCTCAGAAAGCCAACTGTATCCTGGGCTGCATCAAAAAGAGTGTGACCAGCAGGTCGAAGGAGGTGATCATGCCCCTCTGCTCTGCTCTCGTGAGACCTCACCTGGAGTATTGTGTGCAGTTCTGGTGTCCTGAAGATGAAAAGGACATGGAACTCTCTTGGAACAAGTCCAGAGGAGGGCCACGAGGATGATCAGGGGACTGGAACACCTCCCGTATGAAGATAGGCTGAGAAAGTTGGGGCTGTTCAGCCTGGAGAAGAGAAGGCTGCTTGGAGACCTCCAGTATCTGAAGGGGGGCTGTAAGGATGCTGGGGATGGACTCTTCATTAGTGACTGTAGTGATAGGACAAGGGGTAATGAGCTAAAACTTAAACAGGGGAAGTTTAGATTGGATACAAGGAAGAAGTTCTTGACCGTAAGGGTGGTGAGGCACTGGAATGGGTTGCCCAAAGAAGTTGTGAATGCTTCATCCCTGGTGGTGTTCAAGGCCATGTTGTACAGAGCCTTGGGTGACATGGTGTAGTGTGTGGTGTCCCTGCCTATGGGAGGGGGGTTGGAGCCACATGATATTAAGGTCCTTTCCAACCCTGTCTATTCTATGATTCTGTAATGGGTACAGTAGTAATAATTGCATAGGGTTTTCAGTTTGAACAACAGTTTACTTCTCTCATTCTTTTGAGAAGTTTGAACTTTGAGTAATTTTTCTGTATGTGATTTATTTTTGTGTTTTAGATAAGCGTGTATTCATGACTGTGGCAGTGGATATGGTTGTTACTGAAATAGTAGAGCCAGTTCGTTTTTTGCTTGAGACTGTTGTGCGTGTATATCCTGCCAATGAACGTTTCTGGTACTTCAGCAGAAAAACCTTCACAGAAACTTTTTATATGAAGTTAAAACAGGTAATCCAAATTTGTTTGGGGTTTTTTTGTTTGCTTGCTTTGTTGTGTTTTTTTTTAAGGAAAGTTGGTACTGGGAGCATTTTATTTTTCTGTCTTAATTTGGTCTTTACAACATGGCACCTGTACTTCAGTAGTTTTTTCTTTTAACTGTTTATTTCTGAGATGCTTATATAGAATCATAGAATAGTATGCATAACAGTTAAGTAGCATGTATAAATGTTCAATGCCTTTGTGTCAAGGTTTAACCCCAGCTGGCAATTAATCACTGGGCAGCTGCTCGCTCACTTCCTGCTGGTGAAATGGGGGAGAGAAGGGTAAAAGCAAGAACTTGTGGGTTGAGATAAAGACAGTTTAATAAATAAGTAAAGCAAAAGCCACACATGCAAGCAAAGCAAAACGAGGAATTCATTCACAACTTCCCTTCAGCAGGCAGGTGTTCAGCTGTCACCGGGAAAGCAAGGCTCCATTACATATGAAGTTTACCTGAGGAAGACAAATGCCATCACTCCAAAAGGGTTGTCCCCCCTGCCCTTCTTACTCCTCCTCAGCTTTATATGCCGAGCATGACATCATATTGTCTGGGATATCCCCTTCGTCAGCTGTCCTGGCTGTGTCCACTTCCAACTCCTTGTGCACCCCCAGCCTACTCCCTGGTGGGGTGGGAGGCAGAAAAGGCCTTGACTGCGTGTAAGGACTGCTTAGCAGTACTGAAACATCCCTGTGTTATCAACACTTCCCAGCACAAATCCGAGCATCCCCCGACAGTAGCTACCATGAAGAAAATGAATTAATTCTACCCTGGCCAAACCCAGCAGACTTTGTAAACTCAACTAAAATGAGTTGTAAGTCATTGACTTTGTGGGCTTAAAGAATTTTTGACCTACCTGTTGAATCCTCTGTTATTTCATGCAATCTCACCTGTGTGCAGACATCTAAAGAAGTCTGTTTAACTGGTAAAATTGAGAAATGTTTCTTAAATTGTTCACTGTAAAATCAGTTAATATGTAACAAGGGGAAATTCTGGCTACGAAGGTTCAAAATGTGGAGGTAAGTGGCTGTAAGAATATAATCCCTTAAAGGCAAAGTAACCTAATGCAGAGGTTTAAAATTGTTAGACTATTACTATAATTTTTTTTTTAAAACTGTCTGAGAAAGTAGATTTCAGTGTTTTTAAAAAGAGAGCTTAAGTAGATTCTAGGGAATGGAACAGAATGTAACTAGAGAACGTGACAGTGGTTTAACATCAGAAGCCTCAGCTCCAAAGATAGATGGCTTCTCTGTCCAGGACGATGAAGTCTGTGGCGTGTTTTCTTGCTGATGGAAAATCTTGGCAATAATGCTGTCAGTCATTGTGCAAATGTAGCGTGTTTGACCGTCAGTGAGAAATTCATGTACGCAGTCTGCCTGTTTCTGAGTTATACCATGCAGACCCTTGGCAGGAAACTTCAGACTTGGGCTATCTCAGCAAGGTGCCCATTCCAGTAAGGAAGCATCAATTGATGTTGTTCCAAAAAAAAGCAAGCAATGAAATGGCATTTCCTGCAAGGGGTAAATGAGACCTGTCTGTATTGGCAGAGAAAAATCTGAACTTTTCTGAGGAAGGATTCATATAGATTTAATAGTCTGAACTGAGATTGGGGAAGTGAAGTCAGATACGAGCAATGACATAAATGCGGGTTGCTGTGCGATTTAGGGATTGTTGTATCTGTCTTGCTTTGTTCCTCATTCACATTTTTGTCATTAGATCACGATCCTTATAGAGGTGGATTCCTGTATATAGCACGTTTGTGCTTCAGTAAAAAACAAATAACCAAATTATTTTCATTTTATAGAGATGGGTCTTGCAGTTAACCAGAACATGTGCTTGGAGCTGAAGACTTGTAATTCTTGTAGCATACAACAAAATCCATAATACCTCGTGCCTCAGTTCCTCAAAAATAAAAGCTATAGATACTGATGGTTAATAATATTAATGGCATCAATACTTGATTGATTTAACCAAGTGCTTTGTAATTACTTGGTAATGGGGTTCTGTGAGAATAAAACAGGGATAGTGGCTCTAATACCATTCGGCTAAATGTTACACAATGCAGGGTATTTCTGCCTACACCCTGAAGTTCATTAAGCTCACTTCATGAGAAGTTCAGTCAGCACAACTGGCTGATAATTGGAGCCATTGCTTTTATGGAATACCATCTTTAAAGGAAGCAGATCTGAATGATTACTCTAAAATACAGTAGTAAAGTCTTCTCAGTATTAAGTCATATTGTGTAGGTGAAGCAGTCCCAATTTAAGGTACCCATCTGCATAGTTTCATTAGCTGGTTAAAACTGCAGGTGCTGATTAGCAGTTCATGTGTATCTCCAGCAAAGGTGTCATGGAGCCTTCTAACTTCATAATAATTTTGTTTGTGTTTGGTTGGTTTATTTTGTTTTTCCCAGAACAAATTGAATATTCTGTTTCTGAACTGTTCGTTCTCTTTTTCATGGTTAATCGATGTTTTTAAGATGTTAAAAAAATTATTGTACCTAATTAGGCAAGATGCACAAAAACCAAAATAGTGCAATGTTTTTGAGCTGTTTCATTTAATATAATCATTAGTTTGCAGTTTTATACAGTTCTCTACAAATATGTTTATCATTGTATGTCAATGAATAGTAATAGTGTTAAAAACTGTAACTCAGAGGAAAAACTAATAGCCCTTTTATTTTAAAGTTGCAACCTTGTATCCAGTGCTTAAAGTATAGGTAACTAACTTCTTTTTCATGTGAAAGTCCATTGAATATGAAAGATTTAGGCTGAACTCTGAAGTTTTCCACCCTGAAGTAAAAAGAAAACAAACGAGTTCACCCTGCCCCACAGGCTTCGAGGTAGTTTGGCATAAAAGTCATCAAATCCCTGAAGAGGCAGATTTGGAAAAAAACCTGCTTTTACAGGAAAAAGAAATAATTTCTCACTGAAAATATTCTGACCTCAAATTATATATATATAGTTAAAGATACCATGCTCAAATTTCCAAGTTAAATGAACTGTTAGATTGACAAATATTCATGATTTGTGCATGAACATGTACACAGGCACATACATGCACATATTTACAAGTAAGAAATAAAATTTAGGCTACAAACACAAATTTTATAGCTAGGTACAGCCAATATATTTCTACACTGAAAGGCGTGGTACCCTACAGGGAGATTTTAACAATTTAGTGCTTTCAGAAAGTGTGAGATTTTGTTTCTGTTTTAGTCATGTCTTTACCTACTAAAACCTCTTACCATTATTTCCCCCACACCCTCCTCACCCCAAGCATTTGATTCCTGTTTGTCATGTTAGTTACTCTAATATTTTCTTGTGTGTGCTCTTCTTTTGCTGCAGTTTCTCTTTTGACCTCATGTCATTATAGCTATTTAAATTGGTGAGCTTTTTTTTATCATCATTCTGAACAATACTTAAAGTGGTTGTTAGGAGGCAGCAGTTTTATTTTTCCTACCTGTAAAACTTAGAGAAACAGAGCTTTCAATTACTGTTAGTCTACAGGTGCCATTGCAAATAAATCTGAGGGAGTCTTGCCCAAACTTTTGTTTAGCCTTGGTAGGAGATTTGTTTGTGTGTGTTTGGGTTTGGTTTTGGCATGCTATTAGAACTACATCAACAGTGGGGACCTAATACATACATTTATTTTAGTCTGAAGGAAAAAGCCATACAAATGCTGGGGATGCAATTTATGAAGTTGTCAGTCTACAAAGAGAATCTGCAAGAGAGGAAGAATTGGTCAGCCCAACAAGCGGAGGAGGGCCTGTATCATCCCAGGAGGATGAGGCAGAAGAAGGTAAGAATAAAAGATCACTTGTAAGTTCCCAAAGATACTATTGTTATATTTCTGCTGTTAATTTGCTCATCAGATCTTCCTATTTGTGCCTATTAGAAATACAGCTGCTTTGGACAAAAAGATCACACTTAATTTTTCTATTAACAGTGGTTCTTCAGTAATAGCACTTTTACAAACCAACTTGGAGTTCTTCGTATTTACCAATTTGGCGTCCTTCCAGTAGCAGCAGCAGACAACACATGTCCATTTTAATGCGCACTTCAATATGTGTTACTGATGCACTTGTGCTCTGGTAACAAGATAGAAGACCTTTTCTAGAAGGTTTTTATTCTGATTTGGAAGCCATTTGCCTCGAAAGTACTGCTAAAGGACAGCATTGAAATGGGCTTTGAAATGGCAGGTTTTAAGTGCCTTTTTGCAAAGAAAAAAAAAAAAAGAATCCCGGACTCATGGGGAGATTTTCCTACCCCCAGACTGTCTGCTTAGCATGTGATTTGTTTTACCTCATTTATAATTAAGTCTTAACAAAACACCTCCTGGTTCAGCTGGGCATCATGTTGGGGATTGCTGCTGTTCACAGACCCAGTGTATTTGTACCTTCTGAAGCTAATAGTACCTCGGTGTCTTTCCCATGTCTTGTCTTGTTTTGTTTTGTTTTGTTTTTTTGGGGGGTGGGGGTGTGTAGGGATGTGGGGCTGTGTTAGGTTTTCTTTTTTGGTGGTGATGGTAGTTTTTGTTTGCTTGATAATTTTTCTGTTTGTTTTGTGTTTCTGAAGGCCTTTGGTCTATTGTCATCATTTTGTAGTCTGAAGGTTAGCCTATATAGCATTCAGAATTCAGAATAGGCTTTCTGTGTGCCATTTTTGATCTGGATATCTGACTAAGCAGAACTTGTGATAGTTTTGCAAAGTTATTCTTCAGATATCTGGCACTGTTCTCTCAATACGATATAAAGGCTCACTTACAGAGGAAAAATTCCTTCTTTATTCTTACTTACACGTAAGTAGGTGGATACTAGTTTATGCAACACAAATCAGAACCCTGTGATTAAAACAGTCAGGAGCAGACAGACAGATACATTTATGTGGTTACTCTTTTCTACTTGCAAACAAAAAAACCTGCTCATACTAAGGTGACACCAGGCTTATAAAACCCAGAGCTGAGTGTTCACTGGTGAACTGAAAGCCCTCTACTGATTCCTGGAGGGAATAGGATGGGCATTGATTATTCCTTCCATTGCATCAAGTACCACATCTGAATAGCAAAAATACTATTTTCTCTAAGGGAGCTTTTATGTTTAATTGCTATTTGGGATTGCTTTACTGTTCATAGCAAGAATTATTTTAGATTTGACCTTTGGGTCTTGTGGTTCAGCGTAGAGTAGTTTAACATCTGTGGGTGGCGTTCTCCATGCTGGATATTTGAGTTGTGTAGTCAAAATTTTTTCTGGAGCTTGTCTGATAGGATGGGGTCCAAGTGGTGACTTGACTACTTTCTTTATTTATATTGCTTCTTACTGGGAAGAGTAAAGGACTCTTCCAGAAGCTGATGAATGTGGCACAATTAATAATAATTTGTCTATTGTCCTCTTGGTACTATTATAGAATGGCTTTATTATAAAATATTCCCCTGGGGTATGAACCTAAGTTTAACTTTGGTTTAGCTTCCCAATGCTAGTTTGCATATTTCAAATGTAGATTACTTCCTAAGAGAAGACATTAAAAATATCATGATGTGACTCTGTTCTCATGGAAACTGCATTTACAGTTATCTGCCTAGAAGTTATCTATCCTGGTGGATATGCAGGTTAAGTGAGTCATTTGCAGTTGATCTAAATAAATCTCTTCATTCTTTTTCTTTCTTTTTCTTTTCAGGGTACTAATTATGATGATGGAAAAAAATCCCCTTGAGTTTACAATGTCTTGTCTTAGCCTTGGAAGAAGGCTTTTTCTTTTCTTTAACATTAAAGATGGCTACCTGGCCATATAGTTTTTTTTTCTGCTTGCAACCTAAGGCAGGTGTGCATTATAAGGATTTTACTATTTCATAGGCCAGAGGCTGGTGTTCCCATTACAGATACTGAGGATTATTACTTGTTCTCTTTTTTATAATATCTTCATAATCTATCCTGCATGCCCTCAGAATATTATGTAATTTACTTCAGAAGCACTATACATTGCAGTTTCATTTGTATAAGAATGCATGCCTCATCTGCACCTTACCTGATTTCTGTGTACTCTGTGTGTGTGCATACACACAGCTCAGTGGGATGTCTTATGTCATGAGCATATGAATAAAGATGTTCATAAGAAAGAAGGCATTTTTTCCAATATTCTTGTTCTTTTTGTTTTAATGAAACTCTAAACATGATTCCTGCCCCATGGAATAATGATTTAAAATAATTAGTATACTAGAGTTAGGCATAGTCCCTTTCAAATGTGCAGCAACTGTTATAGAAAATTGAGATATATTCCCTAAATAACATACTTAGCTTTTTAATAGCCTTTTCCCATTTTAGATTTATTTTTCATCTGAACAGCTACATAGAAAAAATCAGACTTTTTCAAAGATTGTGCACTAGTTACTTAAAGTGAGGTTGATCGTGGAAGGTCTCTCCTTTTTTAAATTATTAATATTGTAATAGATATTTCTGGCAACCCAGTCATGTAAGGTTCCTTGCTTTGGAGATAGTAATTTTTAAAATATGGTTAATATTAATGATTTCTTGTCAAAACCTAGAATGTAAAATACACTCTGTGATAAGAAGTTTTGTATTACAGAATATAATTTTAAAATATTAAAATATATAATGAGGAAAATATTACAGTTCCTGGAATGGTTTCAGATAAAGTGAATTTAAGTATCAATTTTTATCAACAAGCAAAAAGGTCACTGTTAATATTTAATTTTGAGTAGAATCTTGAAAAAGGTGAAGAACACAATTGGTTGAACTAATCTTCTTTTTGCAGCATTAAGAGTGAGAACATGTAACAGAAGTCATGGTTGGTATACTACATTAGTCAAAAAAGGCAAAACTGCCCAAAGCATTTTTATTGTAGTGTCATTCTATGGCAGGATAAAGTGGGTGGCTGCATGTGTGAGCCTAAGGATCAGAGAAATTTGCTTTCCAGAAGCAAGGAGAATATGCAGTCCTAGAAACAAATAACAAAGGACAAGGGGAAGAGCAAGTTGTCTTCTAGCAGCAGTGCTTGCTTAGACCATACATGAAATGACGACTTTTGTTTGGCTCTAATATTTTAATTCTTTTTTTAATATAACATTTCAGGAGAATACTAAATAACACCATTTGAATTTCTTCTTGAATCAGAATAATGTCAGAAGGTTAGGGATCACTGGAAGTGGGAGCAATTGTGTTTAAAAACAGAAAATAATTTTTTAAACTGATTGTAACTGAGTTAAATTTTTTTTTCATGTGATCCTGTGTGTGATTACTTGTTTTTGTTTTTTTTTTTCCAATCCAAAAATTGCCTGCAATGTAATCACAGGATGCTTAGCGGACATTCTTGAAGCAGGTAATTCATGATAGGTGAAAGATAACATGCCTTGCAAGTCTCCAAAAAGAGTTTTCTGAACCTGAGTTGGAGGTTGCCTCTAGAACTCTCTCAGATGACTTCCAAGAATACAGAACTGTTTGTGTTTGTGTTTTTATTTACTGCAGCAGTAGGTTTCATAATGATTTAGATACTACTTTTCTGACTGCTAGGAACTGAGCAGGGATGTAGTTGACCGGGTAGTGGGTACTGATCCATAAACAGTGTTATTAAACGAAAAAGAAACCTGTTGAAATGTGTTTGGTGTTTAGTTATTGGCATTTAGTAAGAAGAAATTAGATTTAAATATGAAGCTGTAGAAGTAAGAAGGAACAGCAAAAGAAAAGAAAAAACAGTCTTAGGAGGGTAAAACTATTTCTGTGTTCTGTCTAACTGTCTTAAATTGTAACAACAAAAAGAGGTAAAATAGAAAAAAAATAATGTAAGAGGTATGGAAATTCGGTGGGGAGATGGTGAAATTTGACAACGAAAATAGTAATGAAAGGACCCTGAAAGCTTCCAAAAAGTCTAAGCGTACTGGACAGCACAAAGGGTAGATAAGGAGTCAGCAATACTAAATAATCAAAGATTATCAGCCAGACTAAATCAGGATACTGTGTGAAATGTTGTGGGTGGACAGAGGCTGTTTACAGGATTCAGAAAAGCAAAATAGTAAAGGAAGTGGTGGTACAGGAGTCAATAGAGTTATTGAGAGTATTTTGTGATAAAATAGGGGTTTATGATGAGGGATAGTGTGAGCAAATGAGGGTGACTTAGTGAGAAGAATGACATTGGTAGTGTGGAAATAGTCAACTCTTCATTTTTATCTAAATTAAAGATAACTTGATGAAACTCATAGGAAATGTTTGTTAACGTTAATTCAGTACAGAGTAGCGTTGATGACTCCTAACCATGATAAGTTAAATCTGTGTTGGAGTCTTTTTGCCGTCTCCATTAAAAATGAGCTAAAATGATACAAATCCAAATTCATGAGTTCATTTGGCTAGGGGCTGTCTTCAGACAAGAACTTTTTGCTGCAGTTCCATAATTGCCAATATGATTTTTAAAATACAAGCACTTTGAAGAATGCAGATCTGTAGCTTCCAAATAAAAATAAACTGTTCCTGATGAGCCTGATGTCATTTTTATGGACTCTACTATCCATTCTCTCAGATTGGATTATTTTCATGCCTTAGAAGTTAACTTTTGTTACTAAAAATCATAGAATAAGTGCACTCAGTTGACTTCTGCAGCGGTTATTGTGCTGCCAGAGAGAACATAATCCCTTCCTCAGTATATAAAAACAAAGATACTGAGTGCAGAAGACATTTTTTTAATATGTGCTGAATGGTGGCAGTTCTTATTGATGGTTACAGTTGTATTTAAATTTGGTCATGCAAGTATGGCCTTTCTGTTAAAAGGCAAGTGTTTGAAATGTTTGGAATTGGA